GGCTTTTCTCGACGAATCCGATGATCTCGTGTCCTTAGACACACCCCATTATAGTTTTCCTCTGTGGCATCATCGGGACGGGAAAGACATTCTCGTTCGCGATCTCACTGATGAAAGGAGTAACCCTTTACGACCAGTGAATATTACGCATCCGACTTAGATTTTGTGAGTACGTTCATCTATCATCCCGTCGACCGCGGATTCGTTATTGAATCTAGGATCATTGTCATTAGTTTCTCGAGTACCTAACTATCACGGTTACTTGTCCGGCTCTATAATAATCGTATTTGCACTAGTCAATGTCTTCTCTATTGCATAACGACAACGTGTAACCCAAACGAAGATTCGTTTCACGCCCCTAACCCTAATTCTAATGCAAACCCGACATATATATATATTTTTCGTTTTAATTGTACTCATATTTACGTCCATGTTCACAAATGCTAAGATACTTGTTGTTATTAATCGGTTAGATTTATTAATTTAAGATCAGGAGAAATATATTTCTATTATCAATAATTGAATTAAAGAATTGTTTACAAGGGTGTAAGAGGGTTCAATACATGGATAATTATTGTGGTGATTGTTTATAGCACAAAGATAAATTCAAATTATAAATACTTCAAAAAATATCGATACTCGAATATACTTCTAATTGACACTTTAAAATTCTGCTACCTTCCAGAAAAATATAACAACCACCCCTCAAAACTTCCTAACCATCCCACTACTACTACTCGAAACAACTGGAAACAATGCAGAGACCATTACACAGTTTTATCGTCCCAACGTTTCCGAATCTTCGGAAGAATAAAAAAAAAAGTCAAAAGCGACACGATAACGTTAACTACACGCTCGACAAAGAAATTCGAAAAATTCTCCACAGTTACACGGTTTCCCGTATACACTTTAAACAAAATGAAAGTTTCGCGTGATGGGTGTGTTTCCACGAGAACTCCTATCGTCAAACCAACTCTGATATCGGAAAAAGCTGGAAATTGCAGAGTCGTGCTGGGAACCACGTGAAAGTAATTCGATGTTGCTTCATGTTGCACGTGTAATGGCTACGACACCACCTACGCTCGTCCGCCATTAATTACGCATATTTGCAAGTTATGTGTAGCCTGGTGTTCCTCCATTCGTTGAAGACTATGAAAGTAAATGAATATCAATGTTTGGTTAAGGGTGTGAAACCAACCGACGAACCAAGATGCTTTTGGTGTACATTCAGGGGACACAGGTGATTCCAAGTTCTCGTTCGTTCTGGTAGGATTATCGGTCATGTTGGATAAGAACGAATGTTATACGCGCTAATGAACGGTAATCGTGCTGAAGTTGCTGCTTCTAGCTCGTTCGTTCGGTGAACAAGGATTTAGTAATCGGATGAAAGAATCATGGAGACATCTGCGTGTTGGAAGTAGGTCCTGTGGGTTGTAAATAGAATAGCCGATGACCGATTGTATAGCAAGTCGTTTAAGCGGATATCGATGATGAAAGTCATCGACAGTATTGCATACATACCAGAAATACCAATAAAGAAATCATCGAAAATTCTAAAACATCAAGAAATGTAGAATCGAGAATATATATAACTAAAATATGGAATATGGAAAGCATCAAATTTCAAGAGCACTGAAAATACCAAATTATTAATACCAGAATGATCAAAGATCCAGGATACCAAATACCTAAAATATCGAACACTGAAACCATTTACATTATTCATATGCAATTCCAAGGTTCTAAAAACACAGATCACATAGTGATCAGATACAACAAAAAATTCTACAAATCTAGAAATTCAAACAACACCAGCAATAATCAAAAAAAGTCTAAACGCAGCAACCTACAAAAATGGTAAAAATCTAAAATTTCAAAAACGCAGACCTAATACAAACCAAAAGCCATCCTCGATTCTAGAAATATCGGAAAAGCTAAAATATACCATACACTAAGTGCATACCAGTATACAAATACCGATGCAAACTTACACGAGGAACAGTCTTCTATTTTACATATTCATATCATGCACCGAGAGATAAAAAAACGCATGCGAATAGATTCAGGTTCAACAGCCTATCACGGCTCGCTTCTCTGGTACACAGACTATTACCATAAAATCTTCAATCTATCGTTAAAATAAGAGCGTCGGTGTCACCAGCAAAGGTTGTATATAG